AACAACTTGATTATCCTCGACACATGCGAACTCTCACACAGAAGTATCTGAAGCAATTGGTAGCTGCTACTGCGTTGGTCTCACATATTTCCAAATGTTATTGATCACAAATGTGAGTTTGCGTTACAGTTTTGTTAACATTTGTTGATTGTGGCGATATGCAAAGGAAGAGTATCTTTAACATGGGATCTCATTCCATTCAACCATACGAAACAAGTAAAAGCACCATACACAACCAATTCTACTTCACATTCTAATCATATGAACTCCATATGTTGTCTTTGTTCATTGTGTCATATTCCAAACACTGAGTTGGAAAAAAGTAGAAATTAAAGAAGCGTCTAAGTGCACAATAGTAACATCCTTCAGATGTCACCTAAGTATTTCACTATATTTTTTTTTGTTTTCATTATTAGGTTCCTGTTATTCAAAGTGATTCAGTACGGCACCATATGTTGACTCAATCATTTGCATGTTTGCTTCTGTTTTGAATTAAATTAATAATAAACATTATTTTAATGAGCTGCTTTATAGTATGAACTCATAAATTGAAGCCAGAACATCATATACTCAAAGGAATATACAAGAACTACTATTACTTTTTTTTATTTTATGATTTAAAACATCATGAAAAATGCAACAAATTTCTTGATACAGTAATGATACCGATAAAAAACATTATATCCCATAGTATATGTATGGGTTATGGATCAAATTGACAAAATAAATCGATTTAATAAAAAAAAAAATATTCACACGAAGGCTTTTAAGAAATTTAAGAAATTGATGGGATTAATCCGAAAAGATGAATGGAAAGTGGTTGCCTATGTATGAAAATTGATTACCTATCAGTTCAAAACTAAAGCAGACTCATAAATATTCTCAAAAGTATGTTTTATTCTCCATGACATCGTACTTCAGTTCCAACAAACCTTGAATATGCTATATTCACCAACAATTATTTTTTTATTCTGCGATTATGATTTTGTTTCGGCTTCTAAGTTCGATGCAGGTATACGAGTACATCTTTGATTCAGAGCTTTTTTAAAAGTATAGAATCTAACCTAAACCATTACTTTGAAAGGTATCTATATTAAAGTCGTTTATTTCTATTTTAAGTAGCAAGCGGAATGATATATATTAGAGTATAAATTCTTCAGACAAGATTGAGTGCACATCCTTTACATATATGGCAGCTATATTCTTTCTAACTAATCTATATAATTAAATTTTAATTATTATGTTATATAGCAAGTAGTATTTAGTATCAAATATTTTTGAAGTATATATCTTATATATAAAAATGAATCGAAAAATGTGTTGGTAAGCGCAGAAGTCAACAACGCCTGGACCAATTTGGTCAATTCTTTTTTCTAAATGTTCGTTGAAGTCCAAGGATGGCGAGAAAAAATCGAATTATTGCTATTCAATAAAATTTAAATCGAGCTGCTTTCAGTTTCAAGTTTGAACCCTAAGTTCGCCTATTAGTTTGAAACCCCCTGGCAGACATCCCAATCGGGGTTTCTTAGTGGATCCCAAAAGGGTGGCCAAAGTTCTTGGAGGAGAAGATACTTTGGTCACCCGAGCTGAACCCCACACACCAGGCTGACTGTTCTGTTCAGAAGATTTTTTTGCCACATTCCAAATCTTTTTGACAGAACGAAGTCTGTCGGGTCCGCTAATAAATATATATGAGTATATATAATATTTTTTATAAGTATATAATATAAAAAGGACTTTCTATAACATGTATTTTTACATGTTACATGTTTTTACATGTTATTTTCTATAACATGTATTTGCTTTCATCTGAAAGATGTTCTGAAAAAAAAATTGGATGTTATTCTCCTTTATAAAACACCTTATTTAAACTCAATACTTTTATATATAATGTAAAAAGTATCCTTCATTACAAACAAATATACCTTCTTAACATTAAACAATCTATGTGTAAAATTAATTTTAATAAATCCTATTTTCAAAATAATTCCGTCAATATTAAACAGAAATTATATATCTCTTCATCTTCACTTATAAATGCTGGCGTCCTCGGTGCAGGTCAATAGCAATAACTAAAGTAAATACACGAAACTATATTCCCAGCTGTTTTAGCAGATAGGTTATAAATAAAAATATAGAAACAATTCAGATTGTGCAAATCAAAATAATGATCTCATTGACGTTTAAGATTCTATAAGTCCCAATAGTAACCAAAACAAAATGGGTTCGTATAATCATGTACGAAATATTAACTTCAAAAGATGATGAAAATAGTACGAGTATGAACTTATATAGTGTTTTGATCAATTTTATTTTCTGTTGAATTCAATATTAGACATAATGTCTTGATACATGAGATACAGAGACCGAATCTAACAAGCAAATAATCTTACGGCATCAAACAAAAATACTCAAATAGTAAAACTCCTATTTCAACATTTTACATGCTACAACTACAACAAGGTGATCTCATTGTCATTGTCTTGTTACTTTAACATTTAGAAAAACTAGCTTAAAATAAACAAATGGATCAATGGGCCACCTAAACGCAGAATGAAGACATTTATCGTTCACTGAAACAACTTGCCTATATCGCCTGAAGCTAACCATACCAACAGAACTAATTAACCTAAACTAACATTAAATTAAAAATCAATTAAGCAAAACTTAAATTATGTACATAACATATAGTATAATACTCGTATATGAATTGTAAACACTGGTTTTATTTTATTTAGTTTTCTCTTCATATTATTATAGCAATTACTTAGCAGCGCTTTTTATAGCAGACGACTGAGGAACTTTTTAGAGTTTAACTAGTCAAGGGATAGTAATTTGCTATAACCATATAATAACCAATTTTTAATGATGTGAAAATGAAGGCATGGATATGGAAGTTATGTGGCTTCAGTAGATGTGTAGATTGCTCCAGATATGCAATATTATGTTTTATTGATTTGATTTGGACAATGCGATTTGTGAGATTATACAAATGATCGTATTTATGGGAACAAATTTTAAGCTTTCAACATTTTGACAACAACCTTGGAACTGTAAGTACAGTACTGTAAGAAGACTCTTATGGAAGATATATCAAGACTGGTACACCTGATAGCAAGATTCAGCCAATATGTCGAAATAAAAATTTGGTCCATTTCCAAGCCACACGTATTGTATAGAATAGTATGCAAATGATGTGTTGCCATTTAAAAAAAATAAAAATTCCACTAAAGAAATAGTTAATAAAAATCATTTTAAACAATAATTCAGTAATAAGATATATAACCCCTCGTGGGTGGGGGGGCTGAAATCCTTAGAAGATGCTTCGCAGGTGGTAGAGGGAAACGAAATACCTCTCGCGAACCGAATAGTTTTGAGATGGAAAACTTCGTTAACAAATCTCTAACATAAGCTGACTAAATCATATTCTTTAGACCCCGGTTATGCTCGACCCTGCATACTTGTTGGATGATTGTTGCAGAAGAGAAGGCGGCGGTGAAATCAAAGAGATCAACGACCGCTCTCAGACTTCAAAAGCAAATTACTGTTTTGCGAAAACAATCCTTGAGCTCATCACTCATAGAACAACTATTTTTCTTTAAAATTTAAAACCTGAACGATAAGGGACTCTCTACGCCATATACAAAATCTCCCTGCCTCGGTAGCGAACAGAACGGTTTTGAAGGTACAAAGTTCAAGTTACTAAACATTAAAGAATAAAACCGAAACGATTCAAATGCGGCCCTATACCCAATGGGGGAATCGGACACTAAGACTAAGAAAGGTATATAACAGACAATATAGTGGAACCTGAAAAATCAGTGTAATCTGTATGATAAAACTTTACAGGCACTACACCAGATGAAACACCAGAACAACGTGCAGATGAACATATAATTCAATACATTGTCACAATGTATTAAAATTACATTATTAGAATATTACATTATCCACAATATTAGAAAGCTTCTAATAGTTTTGAAAATAGTTCAGTACTAAAGATATTTTGCAAAAGAGCAAAAAATTACTACTACAAACCCTGAGTTCCTTAAAAATATATTAAAAAAATTGATTATTTTTAAATTCTTACTTCAGTTAAATTTCGATTAATGATACCTATACCATATATGTAAGATAAGGTATATGATAAGTTATATAAGAACATATCCTAGTGCTTAAAAAAAAATAAAGCAATTTTTTTAAACCATCTGAGTTAAGCAGGATAATCGCTTAGAAAAACTGTGAGAAATTAACACAAGCGATTTTGCGTTCCTTTTGAATGGAACGGCAAGTATTATTGAGAACCTTGCAGTGGGGTCTCCTGCTGGCTGATTGAGTGAGAGACAAAGCCAAATATTGTTACAACTTTCGGTTTTATTTTTGTTGTAGATTTTGCCAACTCATTCAGAATTTTAAAGGACATAAAATTTTTAGCAATTCACTTTGCTAACGTCAAATGAAGTCATTCATAACTGGAACACCCAGTAGAATAGTTTTGACATTTCTATTTGGATTAACAGTAAAGTCTTTATTATTTCTTCTCTATTTCTTTTTTGAAATAGAAATTTATTCTTTATTTTGTATTTATTATTTTGCATTATTTTATTTATAGTTTTGCACTGATTGAATTGTCAAAATAAGTTTTTATTTAAGTAAGTCATGCAGTTCTCTGAAGTGCGATAGATAAATTGAACATGCAGAGTAATTCTTTAAAATTCTTTTCACCTAAAATATTTGTAACTCACTTGAATTACTCAAGATTTTTGCAATCAATATAAAGTCCTGAATATAAAACTTCATTGTCACAGTTTTGAGAAAACCTGAATTTATATACAAAGAGAATGTGAGAGTATAATTTGCTTACATCATTTCCATTATTAAAAAAATTTTATTTTGCACAATATGTGAAAAAACCTATTTGAGGGTCCTTAATTGATTAAAATTGTAACCGTTCTATTTTATAGAAAAAATATTATATATTTGTAATACTTTTTCTTTTTTTATTTTTATTTAATCAAAATTCATGAAATCCTGAAATACGCCATGAACTTATGGCAAAGACTGGTATAATCGTCTCCAGGTTATATGCCTATACATATATGCATATGTAAGTTGTAGAAATAAGTAGTAGTAGTTCTTCTTGATATTTTATTATGTATTATGTTATATTATATCATAATAAAATTACATTATATACATATATACATTTAAGTACACGTATGTAGGACTCTATGAGCACAATATGACTTTTCTGGCTGTAGTACCGGCTGTTGTGCGATTTCACGTCAAAACTTTTAATAAAAATACGTATATACCTCATAAGGTATATACCTCATAAGGTTTATACCTCATAAGGTGAACTTACGGTAATAACTCTGATATAGCTATTATGTGAATATCTTGACAGTCCCCAAGGTTTTACCTAAGGGGTATAATCTTAGATAAGAGATATCTTAGAAAGTATTTTTTGCAGTTCACTAAATTAATTAGAATAAAAATTAAAGGATTAAATTTAAATTAAACGTTTGTACAACATAAAAATATAATTATATTGGAATGGTACAAGTCTTATTAACTGTGGTTTATATTATTAATTGGAGAGATCTGTCTTCTTGATATAAATGCGTTACCGATAAAACTTTATAAAAACACACTTTTAAGGGTGTATAATGTGGCGTAGATTTGCCTTGCTCTGGTCGACCATCACTATCTTAAGCTGAGCTTAACATCATTCAAGTTAAAGGCTTCTAAAAGTCCTCTATTAATTCAGAAAGAGCCGCTGAGATTTATATATCTCACATGTCAATTTGTATCATTTTAAACGATTGTTTAGCCATGAAATTTGTTACCACTCGCCTAATCCGAAAAGATCTGAATTTTCTGTAAAAGCTCAATCAAGTAAAGGTCAGTTAGGACATGATAGATAGAGTAAATTTCGACCCCACATTCATAAAACTCACTGTAACTCGCGCTGAAACATGTGATTTTGAACTTGACAAGCAAAAACTTATTATAATCACTTTCCAACTGAGCCAAAAGAAGCACGTTAAAGGTGATCAAAAGTGATAGTAAGGTTATAGTCACAGTTTTCTTCAATTACAGAACATGAGACAATAGAGAAAAAATATCAGCTAAGTATTAATCGGCGTTTAAAAGAACATATAGTATGCTTCAAAAAAGACTGGATTTCTGGAAGGAAAACTTATGGATTTTGTACCCCAATAACGTACTATTATACTAGTCTATGATTGTGAACGAATTTTTAACGAAAACCTCAACAAAACTTATCAAATAGCCACCGTCAACCCCTTATATTGCCATCTTATTTCGCGGCACCCATTTGCAGTTTCCGATAGATAGAAAAGAGAATTCGCGGTAAGTACCGAAGTCGATTCTAAAAATATGTATTTAAGACATATTTTAATTATTGCTTTATTCATTGGCGTAAGTTATTGTTTCGTAAGAGGCCTACTTTGAAGACAATATAATAAGTATTAATAAAAAAATACATATTCTGTATTTCATTGACTGATTGGTATTGGTAGAAAACAATTTTCATGGCTGCGAAACATTCGTCAATGGACCCAAATACGAGAGGTTGGCAGCCTTATAAATATAGCTAGATGCAGAGAGCAATACGCAGAAATAGTTAAAAATTTGTAATTGTGTTTATTAAAAGCTAATTAAACAATATAGTATTATGTTATGTTATTATGTTATAATTATTATTATGTTATAATTAATCAATATAGTATTATGATATGTTATATGATCACCAATATTCGAAATCGAATTGGCAAATAAAGAAGAAGAATATTGACTGATTTCTGTTACTTTCTTCACATTGTAGTATGAAAACCCACTATTTCACTAAATTAAATAGTGCTAAACTGTAAATATATGTAAACAACATCATCATCTATGACTATACAATCCATGTAGGACCTAAACCTGTTTAACATCATACATGTGACGTTATGTGACTAAAATCCAAACACTTTTGTTTAAATTATATTGAAGATCAGTGCATAATATCAGTACTATTATTTATATTTGATATTTTTTTTTAAAAGGAAACTAGTCTCATTGCTAATGTTAGATTTTAAAATATTTTTAAAATTATCTCCAAAGTCAATACATTTGTTCAACGAAGTGAAACCTTAAAATGTTCTGACATTTTTCTTATGCCATTTAACACTTCCAAGTGAAGTGGCTATGCGCCAGTACCAGTGAAAATCCTCATGATTGATTGCTATTGATATTCTCAAGTAGTCGTTGAAAGGTCATCAAAGGCTTAACATGAAATTTAAGTAGACTTGTCAACAAAAAGTGAAAATGTAATCGTTTAAGATTTCTCTACTAGTTCAGAATTTCCACACTTAGAGAAGAGTTGAAGAAAAATCATCTATGCTGTATATAAATCGAAGAAAATTTAGAAACTTCAATCTCTTTCAATACTTAAACCGAAGCATTTC